TTATGACCCATTAAGTCGAAACCAATGTATAGCGACCCTAGTAGGGCTTAAGTGAGATAATTAAGGAATGGTTTTACAAGTTCCACTGCCCCCCTTGAGTTTTCATGGCTGAGCAAGGATTCAAACAGAGGCCTCCTGATTCCTAGTCCATCACTCTATCCACTACACTACATTGGCTACCATATTAATACTATAGTATTAATTCCCATCTACACTTGTTTCATAATTAAGGATGGCTGCCAGTTAGTATGCAGATCCATCCAACAAGTGTGGGAGTAGTTTGAACATATATTCTGAAATGTCATTTTTGTTTCTGACACAATATTTTATGACAGTGAGCGGATGTGTCCAGGCCACGCGTCTTTTTTCCACCCTCTGGGGTCTTTTAATTGCTGTTGATGAAACTGAGCGTGTCTGCCTTCATACAGAGGACAGAGTTCACCTGCTTTAAAAAACACTGACGCTATTTCATACCATCGCTGCTTTCAGGGAACTCCCCTATTCTAACCTGCTGGGGAAAGGCAATTGGCCACTCTTCCCCATTTCTGCACTACTTCCATGTTTTGTTCTTAAACAAAAAGGAACAGGGATGGGGGAATGTTAAGGGCAAACACTGCACAAGGGCATGCCATGCAAACAAACAAAAAACAGGGATTTGGAAAACACCCCTGTCGTTCACCAAGAGTGCACCCAGATTTCTCTCCGCTCATTAATTACAGTACAAGAACGACATGGGGGAATATTCAGGGCAAACACTGCACAAGGGCATGCCATGCAGAAAGAGAGGAGACCACGCCTGCTTTCTTGGATCCAGGAACATTTCTGCCCAACCCCCACAATATCTGGCTCCTTCTAAGGCTGGGGGGTTTTCTCTGGCACTGAAACCTGCTTTCCAGCTCTCTGCGCTCCAAGCCGTCCTTGCAGCAGCGAGACCACATGAACACTTTTTCCTGCCCCTTCCATTTGCAGGCATTACATCACCGCCAGGGCACGGCTGGTGGCAGCGGCTGGTGGTGGTGCTGCTGCTGCTGCAGCAGCAGGGGTGGCGGCAGCAGCTAATTACCTTTGGCTTCCTTCCTGTCTCCTTGCCCAGCCTGGCTCACCAGCAGGAAACTGCTGAAGCAAAACAAAAGAGTCACCTGGCGGGCAGCTACTTGCCTGACAGGCCCCAAAGCTAACATCTCTCCGGCTGCTGCCGGCACCCACAGTTTTTCAAGAGATGGCTCCTGCAGCGCTTTGGGCAGACTTACTTACTCCTGGAGGTGGGCAAAGCAAGAGAAGAGCAAGTGGACACTGAACAGGGCGAAGAATCAACTTTCCCTCCGGTTATGAGCACAGCTCAGCAATCTCTACTATCCCTCGGTTTAGGGGGGGTAGCGTTGTTCTAGGGTGGTGGGTGGAGAGCAAGCTCAGGGACCTGATGAGAACCAAAGTGATCTTCTCCCCCCCCCCATTCCGGACCAAACGACGCTTTTCTTTCCGCAAACCAACACGCACGCCACCAGACCAAGGCCTTACCCCATTTGGTGTGTGCGTGGGTTTTTTATTTATTTATTTATTTTTAGGGGCGGCACAATGGTTGGTAGTAGAGGCATGTTGACAATGAAGGAACTGAAATTGCTAAAGATTTTCTGTAGCAGGAGGGAAGATGCCGGTTGGAGCAACAAAACAAAGACGCACCACCTGTACTTTTGCACTCGGGAGGGCTCAGATCGTTCTCCGGATTCTCACGGGGGTGAACGAAAGGGAGACAGTGCCGTCCCTGTGGGGCAGTCGCCTTGGCCATGCCTCCCTCTCTGCTTTCTGACGCCAGTAGACGCCCGTTCCAATGGCGTTCACTAATCCTCCTGGAGGAGCACTGATGGGGCGCGGGGGGGGAGGGTTGGCGAGGAAATAAGATTGTCCCGGGAGAAAGCAGGCTGGAAAACATGGACGCCCAACGCCCGACCTCTTGTGCTCTCCGGGCAGCGCACGGAGGCGGCTCCTTTTGCAGCTTCGCCGCCGAGTCGGAAACCAAACCTTCGGCAGCTCCAGGGATCGCAGCCTTTCCTGTCCGGCTTCCCAAGGAGCCGGAATGGGAAGGAAGGACGCAGCCCAAAGAATCGCTCCTCGCTGCGGTTCGAAATGTCAACCTGGCCTCTCTCTCTCTTTCCAGCCGCCCTGCCTTCCTCCTCCGGCCTGGGTGTCGATAACCATACACACACATACAGTATATATACACACGAGCACGGAGGGATCCGCGCACCCTTCCCACTCACCGAAGCTCCGCCGCTGCTTGAAAGGCCGATCCGAAGGCATCTCGGCCGAGGATCGGGCACAGCAAGGACCCCGCCGCGAGGAGGAGGAAGAAGAAGAGAACCTGCCCGGACCGCAGGAATTGCGCCTGGGAGGTGGAGGCTGCCGCGGGGCGGAGAGAGAGGCGCTGCCTGCCGAGCGGGCCTGGGGCGGCGACCGGGCAGCAGGTGCTTGCCAACAAGATGCAGCGCCAACCAGCCGCGCGTCACTCCCGCTGGCCTCGGTCGGGTCGCCGCCTGCCCCTCGCCCGGAGCTCTGCCTACACGGCTGCCCGAAGCTGCCCGAGCCGCGGTGACTTCATCGGCAGCCTCCTTAAAGGGGAGGCGCCCGGTCCCGCCCCTTCTGCAGTGCGGCCTCCTGGCCTGAGGCGCCCAGCCCGCCTCTTGGGCGGTGAGCGGCTCGCAGGTTAGGATGATGGAGGAGGGTCCGCTTCCTCCGAAGAAAGAACGCAGGCGCGAAGAATGCCGCAGAACATGTACAGAGTGTACAGCAAACTGGAATAGAGGAATTTATTTATTTATAGGGGGATGATTGTAGGCTGGAGCCCCAACTCCTCCCCATTGTTATTATTTTTTCAATGTAAACAGTAATTAGTACTGTTTACCCTCAGAATGTCATTGGTTTTAAGTCAATATTTTCTGTCAGCTTTGGGGGACAAAGATATCTCGAACCTCACTGGAAATAATCGAGCAGCTCTTTCCTTTCCTATTACAGTATATTGATACGGCTCCATATTGATGCCTGTTCACACGACCAAACAGACTCAGGTTTGGAAATGATTTTTTACTGAGGTAAAAAAACAGTGTTCTTTCCCACCACTGCGTAGTTAGGCAGCCCTATCTATGCTGAGGCCCTCTTGACTGTGCCTAGAAGGGCAAGGCAGAAAGTGCGTTGATCTTCAAGCAAAACCCTGGCCTGGTGGTGCATCTCATGTTTTTTGTCTTTACTACATACAGCGAGTTTAAAGTGATGGATAAGTTTCCTGCCCATTTTATATGGGCACTGAACTGGTTTAATGGCACAGAAATTATGCACTCTTCCTCACAAAATTCTTAGTAGCGCCAGAGAGGTCACATGGCAGGATTTCAAAAGCCTCTCAAATCCATTCTATAACTTTTTATTCTATCCTATAGTTACTACTGCCTTTCGCTGACCTAATAGGGTTTTCAGGGTTCATGAGATGTTCAAAGAGGAATTTGCCCTTTCTCTGCCCGTGAGTGCTAGTCTTGACACCCTATCTACTACACCATATTGGGTCTCGTAACAGTACTGTACTGTATGTTGTTTCTTCTGTAACCAGCTTCCAGTTCACCTTTTTGAGCCAAACTACTTCAGAGATCCTTAAAGCAACACTTATCCTTAGGATCCTTGATAATTCTTGGCATTTGGTTTCACCAGGTATTTCCCCATTGTTAGCCATTCTGTTGCCCTGCCAACTATTTCCATTACTTGAGTGTACCAGCTCTAGAGCAAAGCTGAAATGTCTGCATTTTGTTGAAGTTTTATTTTTCTGAGCACCTAGATACTACAGAATCAGTTTCAAGATTCTTCACCATTGTGTCTATAAAATAAGGCTGGGACACCATGGTGCTATCATTGGAGTCCATTGGAGAGATTTACAGTGTTTCTGTAACTAAAGGTTTGTTTACATGCATATAAAGCCTAAGTGCAAAATGAAGATTCACAGTATCAACAGATTAATCTTCTTGACCAGATTTCTCAATGTCATTAAGATTTCTACAGTGCTGAAGGATTTCTTGCAGGCATCGTTACTGTTCCTCTTCCTTTTGAAATCAGTCCCAGGACTAACTGATTAAGACATCTGAACAGTCTAACTTTTATTGACCTAACAGAATAAAGGGACAAGTAATCCTCTAATCCTTCAAAATTGGGAAAGGAGTACGACAAGGTTGGAGTTGGGTAGTGGTGGTAGATGGTTTTCAATAAAATCCTGAAAACTTTTACAAAGGTACGCAGGTGTGTGGAAGATCCTTGAAAGGTCCTTTAGACAAAGTACAAATCTTGTGTGAAATTGGCTGAGGTCCTATTGCACAGTTATGCAAACAGTGTAACTTTTAGAGGCGAATTGTGAGACCTTGCTAGAGAAATCTTTTCTGTTGCACACTAAGTTGCACAACTTAGTATGCAACAGAGAAAGTTTATTGAGATTCCTTAAGTTATGGCAATTAATATCTAAAAGTTATGCCATTTGTGTAACTATGCAAAAGGATATTAACCTTTATGACATACTAATATTTGACATACATGATGGGGATGGAGGGGATGCAGCTTTTAAATCTATCTTTTTATTAATATATGTACTTAATACTCTGAAAAGCAGCATTTTCAAAGATGTGTAACAAAATGGGCTCTTCCTTTTTTGTGCTGAAATGCATTATTATGCTTGAGTATAGTTATAGTTTGAAATAATTAAAGGAAATGATGTCTTCCATTTGCTTTGAAGCACTTACACAGGAGACTGACCAGACAATAGGCATAGTAACCAAAATAGGCACAGCTGAGTGATTTTTTTAAAAAAAGATCATAAAGAAATGAAAATACAGTGTAATGATTATTTGATTAAATACTACGTTTGTATTTTGCATACATGGCTTCTCAGTAACACCATGACTGCATATACAATTTGAAAGAAAATAACATTCCTAATATTATCGCGTGTGTCTGTGAAAATGAAACAATCCAGACCAAAGATACTTTGATTTTAATACATTACAGGTGAAAATGCTGCATCCAAATTTAAATAAGTCGCAAAATAAAAAGGAGACAACACGTATTAGAAGTATTTCAGACAATAATATCAAGTTATATTCTATAGAACCTTATCAATCATTCAATTCATTGTCTTCTTCATGGAATGACTTTTGAAGAGACCCCTTGTATTTTTTTTTAACATTCTGGAAAAATATTATCAGACATTATTAATGTGGCACAAACAAAAAATTGCTATCACTTTTCTTAGACATTAAATAAAAATGTTTCATTTGAATGAATGGGAACTGTAGATCAGTTTGGGAGTTTTCATTCTGTTGGATTCTGAATAACAATCAGGAAATAGTCCTTATCTGCAAAACAGTAAAATAGATAATGTCAAATCTTCTATAGTTAATGCTAATTCACAAACAAATAATTTAGGTCCTAGCTCATAAGAAGATAACATACTTTACCATCAGCGTGGGCAATATATGGTCTTTCCAAATGTTGTTATACAGCACCTTTGGAAAATCCTAGCAACACAGCCAGTGGTGAGGGACAATGGGAGTTGCTGTTCAACAACATCTGGGGGGGCCACAAGTTGCCTGCCCCTAGATATGAGACCAGTACTCCTATGTTGCTGCTCAGGCCCAGCCACTAGTATTCAGAAACACTGCATCTGATTCTGATACAGCACCATTCTATATGCCAGGCTTATCAGCTGACCCCCACCCCAACCCTGAGGTCCGCATATTCAGTCTCAAACAGCTGTAGTGAAGAAGACTTTGTTAATATTATAATATGCATGAAGACCTAACATGCAGTCTGTAGTCCTGCACAACCACAATTCCAGGCAGCACGGACACCTGCATGCATAAAGTGCTAGATATAACAGCTTCCTTGCTAGATGTTCACATGGAAGGTACAGCTGTCAGGGAGCAGGACAAGTTGAAATGCAAAATAAGCAGCCCACTCTTTTGCAGAGCCAAGTTCATGCAAGTCCAGGGACCTGCAGGCTTAGACTATCTGAGTTGCAAATCAGCTGGGGCCTGTCATAAGAAAGAGGCTGTGCTACATAAACATTGTAAATTACCATTTTTCTTTTATTGCTAGCCCCACCCAGGTGATTCACGATTAAGGTAGCAACTTCTGACAATACAACAGTCAAAACACGGCACGCAGAGTTGAGAGTGTTTATTTATAAAATGAAGCCCTCACGAATTGACCAGGAGCATTTGGCCATTTTGTATAACGTATACAGTAGACCAGCAGCACAGTTCAGGCTTGCTGGAAGATCAAGGCTCCTATTCTCTGCAGCCATACATAGAACCAGGCTGTAAGCAGTTTAAATCATACATACCCCTCGCAGCAAGACAGATTTGAAAGCAGGAAGGAACATGATCAGGTAGCACCACAGGAAGCTGCCCTGTATCAGGTCACATGATTTTTCCATAAAGTTCAGTACTTTCCTCCAGCCAGGACTGACAAAAGTTAATTTGGGGGCTCTAATTCCTGGACGCCCTCCACCCCCATGCTGGCCAAGGAGATTCTGAGGGTTCTGCCTCCCCAAGTTACAGTAATTTTTTTTCTAAACTCTGTGTCCAACAGAGATTAGCAACTGTCCAGGGTTTTAGGCCAAGAGTATATTTCTCATAAACCTGGAAGATTTTACATGCACAGCATGTGCCCTGTCACTAAGCTATAACAATAAAGAGTCTTTGCAGCACCTTAAAGAAGTACCAGGGTGGAAAGGGGATCTTGGGCAAGGGGAACAGAAATACAAAAGTTATCAACCTAGCCAGTAGGCATGCCTGTCTGAGAAACTAGAGAAACCGGAAGTCTTGTAGCAACTTTGAGACTAACTAGTTTTTATTCCTGTGTCCAAGCGCTGATCTGCAGATGAATGGAGTGGCTTATCTCTGGGGAGAGTTTAAAACTGCTGGCAGGGAGGGTGCATTAGGGGTCAATAACAACAGAGTCCCAGAAGTACAAGCTGGATTTCGAAGGGGCCGAGGAAATCGAGATCAAATTGCTAACATGCGCTAGATTATGGAGAAAGCCAGAGAGTCCCAGAAAAACATCTACTTCTGCTTCATTGACTATGCAAAAGCCTTTGACTGTGTGGACCACAGCAAACTATGGCAAGTCCTTAAAGAAATGGGAGTTCCTGACCACCTTATCTATCTCCTGAGAAATCTATATGTGTGACAGGAAACAACACTTAAAACTGGATATGAAACTACTGATTGGTTCAAAACTGGGAAGGGAGTATGACAAGGCTGTATATTGTCTTCCTGCTTATTTAACTTATATGCAGAATACATCATGCGAAAGGCTGGATGAATCCCAAGCCGGAATTAAGATTGCCGGAAGAAATATCAACAACCTCAGATATGCAGATGATACCACTCTGATGGCAGAAAGTGACGAAGATTTAAAGAAGCTCTTAATGAGGGTGAAAAAGGAGAGTGAAAAAAATGGTCTGAAGCTCAACATCAAAAAACCTAAGATCATGGCCACTGGTCCCATCACCTGGCAAATGGAAGGGGAAGATATGGAGGCAGTGACAGATTTTATCTTCTTGGGCTCCATGATCACTGCAGAAGGTGACAGCAGCCACTGCAGAAGGTGACAGCAGCCACAGCCTAGACAGCATCTTAAAAAGCAGAGACATCACCTTGCCGACAATGGTCCGCATAGTCAAAGCTATGGTTTTTGCAGTAGTGATATCTGGAAATAAAAGCTGGACCATAAAGTAAGCAGATGGTAGAAGAATTGATGCTTTTGAATCGTGGTGCTAGAGGAGAATCTTGAGAGTCCCCTGGACTGCAAGGAGAACAATCCTGTAAATTCTGAAGGAAAAAAAAACCCTGAGTGCTCCCTGGAAGGACAGATCCTGAAGCTGAGGCTCCAATACTTTGGCCATCTCATGAGAAGATGCCTTGGAAAAGACCCTGATGTTGGGAAAGTGTGAAGGAAAGAGAAGAAGGGCAGGACAGAGGACTAGATGGTTGGACAATGTCATCAAAGCTACCAACATGAATTTGACCAAACTCCAGGAGGCAGTGGAAGACAGCAGGGCCTGGCCTGCTCTGGTCTATGGGTTCACAAAGACTAAACAACAACAACAACAACAACAGAGTGTCTTGGGCCTGGGTGAAAAAGATCTTTAAGAACCACAGATGGGGAGTAATTCCATTAGAATGGTGGTGATTAGGGTCTGAGCCAGGTGACAAAGACCTAGATGATTGGATCAGTATATTTAATGAAGACTATTTTAAAGTTGATCATGTCATAAAGGAATGTGAGAAGGACAATCTAGCAAAGATAATTAGATAACTAGATTTACAGAGGATGATGAACCAGTTGACTCCTCTTCAAGTATTACAGGCCAAATTTAACCCTGAGGTGAATTCTTGTGGGTAAGGGATTGCATTCAGAAGGGCCAGAGATGATAGAAATGTAAATGTTTAGAATTGCCTAAACTGTTGTCATGTAACAAACAAAAGTCAGATGGCAAGAGCTGACATCCCTGCAATAGATGAGCAAATTAACAGTTCTAAGATGATTATTAAGGGACTCCTGGATAACTCCATGGTTTTAGTTTCTGGCTGCAGTGCCAGCTGGTTGGGAGGTCGATTCCCCACTGTGATTCCTTGACAAGAGTTGGACTTGATAATCCATGGTGTCCTTTCCAGCTATGCAGTTCTAAGGTGATGATGCTACAGTAAGATAAAAAAGCCTTTGTCCTTTTTTGAGCCCAAAGAACTGAACTTCTTGATAAGTATTTGTGGCACCTTAAAAAGCTAATGTTATTTTGTAAACTACAGCCCATTTCTTCAGTTGCCTCTAAGGACAAAGGCTGCATTTAGGAAAGCTAAGGCCAAATAAGAAGTCTTAAGTTTTAAACAGCCACAATACTATTTATATTTTTGTTTTAAATTTCATTTTGTTAATTTTATGTATGTAGCTGCCTGCCATGGCCACTCCTCTGGAAACTGATAATTATTTGTTCAGCTGTTTTTTTCTGCTATCTCTCCCCCACCCAAGTACTGTATTACTGCCTGAAGCAGCAATATGATAAGTGAGCAAGTATCAGTTATGTTGCCTTTTCTGGGTGATGCAGTTCTTATCGTTTAAAGAAACATCTAGTACATAAAGATCAATGACACATCATTTTATGTATTCCTCAATTTGGACTCTCAAGCTTTTGGGACCCACAAATTTTCTAACACTCCTGTTGTCCAGGCCTACTCTAAAAGCAGCAGTGCCTGTTTATTAAGAAAATAATAGGTTGGATCCGGAGCTAGACAAGCAGACCTCTGTTCATGCACTGGGGCTTTCTTTCCACCTTCCTCACACTTCAGGTCTCTGAATGGTCCCCAACTGCCTATGTGGGTTTAAGAATTGCATGTGATAGAATAGAAGTGGCACACTACAGCAAGACAGGAAAATTGGGAGAATTAGTAGAGATGACATGACTGCCCATGTGGTGGCACACTACAGCAAGACAGGAAAATTAGTAGAGATGACATGACTGCCCATGTGTATTTTTGCTTATATAACTCATCTCTGAATCCAAGGCAACACAGACTATATCAAATTTAATGGCGCAGCATCATATATTTCAGCTCTATGAGACAAAATGACAGATGTAATTTTTCATTCTTGTTTTGGACTTAACTGAAAAGTGTTTGAGGGGGAAATTATAATTCAAAACTCAGATGGCAGTGGAATTACTGAAACAGATCTAAAAAAAAATAAGTAAAAGCATTTAGGTACATGAAACAGGCCTTTCTGTATAACAGCTGCTCAGCTATGGCATTCTCTTTCATGAGAAAGCAGGCTTACTCCTTCTTTGTGTATTTTCTGAAAAATCTAGCCAAAAGTTGGTGAAAAATATTGTTCTGAAGGGCCTCTCATCTCTATGAATATTGTCTCCTAGATAATATTTTGGATGTATTTTCATTTTTTAAATAATGGTTTTAATCGCTTTTAAATAATTTTGAACTCTTCGTTATACTGGTTTTGGAAGCCCTGCTGGGCAGAAAAGAAATGTTCTTGGGAAGAAGTTGTATTGAGCTATACAGTGGTGCCTCGTATAACGAG